CCTCCTCCTCCTCCTCCTCATCGTCCTACCCGTTTCGTTTCGTTTCATATTGGGCCAAGGCTCCTCATCCTGCTCATCATCCTGCTCATCATCCTCATCATCCTCCTGTTCATCCTCCTCCTTCTCCTGGTTCTCCTCCATATCCTCCTTCTCCTCCTCCTCCTCCTCATCATCATCCTCCTGTTTTTCCTCCTCCTCCTCTTCCTCCTACTCCTCCTACTCTGTCTCTATCTCTCTCTCTCTCTCTCTTCCTTTTTTCTCTCTCTCCCTCTCTCGCTCTCTCTGCTTCTGTGTTTTCCGAACGCGGCCATCTCCCCCCGGGGTCGGTCGACCTTGCGGGGGTTGATCAAATCAGTTTGCCAGGTGTCTCGAGTGGACCACCGGCGGTGGTAGAGATATGGAACAAAAATACAACAGACAATGAAGAAAAGATGGAAGGAAGAGGGCATACACTCAGACCTATGCGACCACTGTTCGGGTGGTAAAGGCAGCTTGGGAAGGGGACAACCTATCACTGAATCGATTTAACTTTCGATGTCACGAAAGTGTTCACATTATTGATATCACCGGGTCGATAAGTGTCGATCCCACGATCGAACTCACAACAGACACCGCTACCAAGATCACAATCGATCTCGCTAATCTTACCACGATCAATCAGACAATCGATACCACTATCGAATGCACAATCGATCTGGCGACTGATCCCACAATCGAACTCATCATCGATACACATGTGTGTCTATATATATATATGTGTGTATCGATGGTGAGTTCGATTGTGGGATTTTCAATAGATATGCCTATCGTGTTCACTATCACTTCCATAATTGATCCCAGGTTAGATACCATTTTCGATCTCACGCGCTCAATCGCACTATCGATCGCACGATTGACCTCACTATCCCTCTCGTGACCGATCTCACAGTCGATCTCATTATCGATCTCACTATAGATCTCACGATCAACCCCACTATTGATCTCACAGCCGAAATCACGATCGGCCTCACGATCGATCTCACGATCGATCTCACAATCGAACCCACTACCGATATCACGATCGGCCCCACTACCGATACCAATACGGACCTCACTGCAGAAAACACTGCAGATCTCACGGTCGATACCACGGTGGAACCAACTATCGACATCACGACCGATCCCACTATAGATCAGGCAACTCATCATACATTGGATCTCATAATCGATTCCACGGTTGATTTCACGACCGATATCACGATCGATCGCATTATCGGTTCCATGATCGATCTCATGATCGATCCCACTATCGATCTCACTAACGATTTCACGATCGATCCCACTATCGACTTCACGGGACACTACGGGAATCCACGGAAAACAGCACCACGGGACACCACGGGCCACCGCGAACACCACGCCGCAGGACACCACGGGCCACCGCGGGACACCATGGGACACCACGGGATACCAGTGGGACACCGTTGGGACACCATCGGGACACCCCTGGCCACCGCTGGCCATACTGGGGGGTGAGGGGGGGTCTTTGGACCCAACGGCGCCATAGCAAAAAGAAGGGTCATGTCTCGCGCCCGCCTACGCAACCTCGCCTCGTCCGCACGTACGACACGAAAACGAAACCAAAATCGATTCCCCAATGGGGGGCTCTCCGTTTCACTGCGATCTCACCCCCTCGCCTCCGTTTCAACGGACTGTAGGACTGGGAGGAGAGGGGGAATCTTTGGGCTGGCGGGCGCGCCCTGTCGTTGCCCTGCGCGGCAGGGCTTGCCTGCGGGAGTGTCTCGACCGGGGCGGCGCGAAAGTGTCGGCGCTCACGCCGCCTGCCTTCGGAACGCGATGGGCAGGCTGAGTGGAGACGGACTAAGTGCACGGGCGACGGCGGTAGCAGCAGCAGCAGCAGGTCACGAGGCAAGCGCGGTGAGACATTCGCGACCGTCGTCTGAACGGTCCGGCGGCGCGATGGCATTCCTCCTCCCCGCCCTCTCCGATCATAACTCTCACCCCTCGACGTGGCCCCCGCTGAAGGGGCGCGCCCGCGCCGCAGGCGCGCCCAAAAACACGGAGGGGCTGGCGGGGAAACTGATGGGCGATAGGGAGAAAGGCTAATTGAAGCAAGGAGGACGGCGAGGGGTTGGGTGGAGCTGCGGCGGCAGGCTGCGCGGTCACGCTCTCCCGGGGTTTGGCGGCTCACCCCAGTAACCGCTCGCAGGGCCAAAACATCAGCGTAAGCACTGGGAGAGAAGCACTGCCGGCAATACAAAACTGTGCTTCGGTTTGCTCCTCTCGGGTTTAGCACCTAGCCGCCAGGGCCAAGAGCGTCAGGAAGCACCAGCAGCATTTCGCTGCGAGGGCTCGGGCGAGAGAAAACGCAAGATCGAGGCGGAGGGCGAGGTTGCGGGACGGGGGGATGTTGGCCGAGGCGGCCCATGGCCCCCAGGCCTCTGGCCACTGATCTGCACAAGTGGCGGCCCAGCAGCTCGCTCGTCGTCTGGGCCGCCCAACCGTCGCGGAGTCGCCTCGGCCCCCTCTCGGGGCACGCGGCCACTCGGGGCGCGGCCGTCGCGGGGGCCGTCGGGCGGGGGGGCGCGGGGTCCGTCGATCAGGGCAAGGGGGTTGCGCGGGCCTTCCTGGGGGCCATCAGGGGGGACGGCGGCGCAGGGGGTGAGCGGGGGGCCGCGGCGCGACGTTGGACCGCCGGGGGGGTCGTCGCTGAGAGGGGGGTCGCGGGTGGGCGGGGGGAGACGTGACCATCGTAGAGTTCTGCCGCCTCTGTCGCCAAACAACAAGAAGTGGGTTCGAGGCGTCGGAGTCGTCCGAGGTGTCGTTCTCGTCCTCATCGGGACTCGCTTCCTCTGACGAGATGGCGCCGCCTTCGCAGTCGCGCGCGCGGGGGCTCCGCGAAGCCGTCGCGGGGGCTGCCGGCGAGGCCGTCGCGGAGGCCGTCGTGGGGTGGGGCGCGGGGGCTGTCGTGGTAGCCGCGGCCGCCCTCGCGCCCGCCTTGGCCGTCGCCGTCGCGGGAATAGCCGCGAAGGTCCGTCGCGGGCGTCGCCGTTACACGGGTCGTCACCACGAGCAGTCGCGGGGAGCAGCCGCGGGATCGCGGACGGCCGTCGGGTCGGTTGTCCCGCCGCCCGCCCAGCAGCCCGCGAGGGAAGCGCCGTCCGCGCAGCCGAGGCAATCCTAGCAGTAGGGGGTCCGCCGCAGGGCGCGCGTCTGGCTGGGCGCAGGACAGTGGGCGGCGCAGGGCGTCGGTCTGGACGTCGCAGAAAGCGCCAGGGAGGGCGCCGGGAAGGGCGTTCGCCCGGCTGTCGGTCGATCTGATCTGTCTTGGCGGCCACCGGCGTCGGCACCGTAGGGAAGTGTCTCCGTCGTTGTCAAAGTCGTCGTCTCGGCGGGCGCCATCTGCGTCGCCGTCGGGGCGTGGCCAAAGCCGCCGCGGAAGGCCGCCGCAGGGTTCGCCGCGGGGGCAGGTCGTCGGGGCCGTCGCGGAACCCGTCGCGCAGTGGTCGCCGTGAGGGTTCGTCGTTGTGGCGGGTCGCAGGGGCGTTCGGGCTGGGCTGGGGGTCGCAGGGCCGTTGCGGGGGTCGGTGGTGGGCCCCAGGGAGCGACACCGGCAGTCCCTATGACCGCTTCGCCGGCATGCCCCCCACCGGCTCCATCTCAGGGCGCGCGGCCACTCGGGATTCGAAGCCCGCCGATGGGCAGTCGGCGCCAGCCCTGGGCTTGCCAGCAGGCCTTTTGGCCGCTTCCCCGGGCACGCCCCCCACGGCTTCCCTCTCAGGGCGCACGGCCACTCGAGGCGCGGCCGTCGTGGGGGCCTTTGAACATGGGGTCGCGGAGGACGTCGGGTAGGGCAGGCGGTCGTGGGGTTCGCAGGGCAGGGGGTCGCGGGGCGGGGATGGGGTCGCGGGGCAGGGGGCCGTGGCTCTCCTCTCCCAAAAAAGGGACGCCGGGGAAGGAGGACGAGGAGAGGGAGTCGTCGTGGGATCCGCCGCCGCCGGGGGTCCGTCGCGGGTTCCGTCGGGGGCCGTCGTGGGGGGCATCTTGAGGGGGCTCGGGTGTTCCTATGACCGCTTCCGCGGGCATGCCCTCCGCGGGTTTCCTATCAGGGCATACGGTCACTCGGGATGTGGAATCCGCTGACGGGCAATCGTTGCCACTCACGGTCTGGCCAGCAGCCCCTATCCGTTTCCCCGGGTACGCCCCCAACGGGCTCCCTCTCATGGCATGCGGCCACGGGTCGTGGGATCCGTCGTGGGGGCCGTGGGGCAAGGGGTTGGGGGGCTAGGCCTACCAGGCGCACGTTGGGATGTGGAGAGGCAGGCGGAGAACCCTATCGTAGCCGTAACTGCCGTTGGCGTTGGGATGGGTCCCCGCCCAGGTTCCTGGTGGCCTGACAATCCGCGGCAATACTCCATGGAGTTCTGGCACGCTGCTGGGGACCTCCATGACGACGTGTTTGGTGGTGTGGCCGTTGTTGGTGTCATCGGCGACGTCGGGTTTGATGGCGTCGCAGTGGACGTATTTTCCGAAGGCTGCTGCCTCCGCCGCTGTCCGCCTGCGGCGGGCCGCTCGCCTGGCCGCGGATGGCCCGATACCCATGATCTGCCTGGCCCGGAAACGGGTGGCCAACCTTGGAGAGGTGGTTGGTTGCCGCCGCATGCTTGGGCCGCCTCGCAGTCGGGCGGCCCCCCGTAGCATTGCACACGTCGGTATCGAACTGCGTCGCGGGCTTCTCGACGGCCATCGCCAGATGCCGCGCTCAGCCTGTCGCCAACTGTGGGGCCCCCCACCCGGCCGGGCGGGTGGTCCGCGCCTCCGAGTCGGGCAACGGCTTCCTCCTCCTCCTCCTCCTCCTCCTCCTCTCCTCCTCCTCCTCCTCCTCCTCCTCCTCCTCCTCCTCGTCTCCTCCTCCTCCTCCTCCTCCTCCTCCTCCTCTCTTGCCCCCCGCTCCTGACCCCCCCCCACTCCTCCTCGCGAGCCCCGGGCGAGCGCACGGC